TCATAATGCTATGGGTTGAATTGTGTCCCCCCAAATCACTTGTTGTATTATGTGTTATATTTGTGGATGCAATCCCTTTTAAAACTAAAGATGTCTTTGTTATGCTACTGAGGACATGTCTTTATATGTTTTTTTTTTGTTTTGTTTTTGAGATCAAAAAGAGAAGCTAAAACATTGTAGAAAGCAAGTACAAATAGGGAAAAGATCGATGGCATGAGATATCTCCAAGAAATTCCAAGAAGTAGCTGAGCAAGACAAGCCATCTTTAAAGCAGGTGCCCTGATTTCAAACTTCTAGCCACTTAATTGTGAGAAAAATCAGTATGTGTTTTTTAAAACCACCCACTTGTTGTATTTCTGCTATACCCACAATAAGCAACTAACATACATAGTATTGAGGTTTCATAAAGGTCTCTACCGAAGGAGTTGGTTCATATGCCTGAGGAGTCTGTAGCATTTTCCAGTTTATTCCTCATCATCTAGTAGAATGCATTATTTAGCATTGACATCCTGTAGGCAGATACATTTAACATGTCCACATGAACAATGGCGGAATAAGCAGCAGCTTCATGACTGATGCTTGTACTTACTAGCTTGTTCATGTTCTCATCGACCTTATAAGTGAACATTGTATGAGTACAAGACTTCCATTGTATTTGCGCTGAATTTGCTTAATGCATCTTATATTATAAAGTGTTCAAAGAGAAAGGTACACATGAACTTCCTGTAGTTATTGAATAAACTATGTTGATAGTTATTGTTCTAAGCGCTTTCTCTTATTGATCCAATTGCTTCTCACAAAAGCAAAATGAGGAACAATTATGATAGCAAATTTGCATATAAGGGAATTGGAACAGGGTAATCATCCTGCGAGGAAGTGAAGTTACGTTGTTTGGTTCCAGAGCCTGGGCTCTTAAGTCTTAATAAATGCTGCAACATGAAAAAGCTTTTGTTGTTGTTAGGTGCCATTGAGTCAGTTCCGATTCACAGCACCCAGTGTACAACTGAGAGTCCTCACAATTGTTACTATCTCTGATCCTATTGTAGCAGCCACAGTGTCACTGCTTCTCGTCCACGGCCTTCCTGTTTTTGTGCTTCCACTCTGCTTTACCAGTCATGATGTCCTTCTCCAGGGACATCGACAATCTGCCTCTCCTGACAACACATCCAAAGTACGTGAGATGAAGTCTGGCCATCCTTGACATGTGACAGTGACTTATGATACGACACTATAGAAGCTTGGAGAGTCCACGTATGAACGATCACATTGTTTTTCCATACTGAAGCCTTGTGAAAGCACAGATGATGCCTCTGGCAGCCGGGGTGCCTACAGCCACTCTATTCCAAGACTCCAGGCCCACATATATTTGACATGTATTATGTGTAAGAAATGAACTACATTATATTTTAGGAGAGCAGATTATTGTTAAAATTATAATCTAGCCTACCCTGAATACCACTGGGATTTTCCAGGAAGTGTGGTGCTTTTATAAACAAACCCCATAACAAAATAGCCTAGATAGATGGTAGTGGGAGGCTAAGAAATTATTATTGGAAAATGAAAGGAAATGGATTCACATTATGCAGTGGCAAAATATTCGACAAACTCTTACTCTTAATTACATAAGAAAATAGATCATGCACCTAATGAACTTGGAGCCTCAAGGGAAGAACAGATATAATAAATTTAGTAATAATTGTCACTTGCTGCTGGCTGTGTTTACAAGGTGTTGTAAGGAATAGGTGAGCTTACAAAATAATTGCCTGATTTGGAAGAAGGAATGAAAATGAATAGAGGGAATCTTCAAATTCGAGGACTTGGTAGGGTTGAAAAAGACGAGTGATTTTTCAAACTGAAACAGTAATATTAAGAATGCTTAAGAAGTACTTTGAGAGAGAGAGAAAATTAACTCATGATTGCATGGAGACAATTAATAGTTCAGTCTTCATACAAATTATTAAACTGTATGAATGAACCAAATTGTCTGAGTAAAAATTCCTAGACTCACAATGAAATTGTGGTACCCAGAGACTCCTTTTAAGTTAAGAAAATAGGGAAACGGGAGGCAGGGTAGTTTTTCTGAACAAAATATCATAGGTTCATGAGACCAGCAATAATGCCTGCAGGCTATAAAGAACAAAGCACAACAGTAATTGTCTAGAATTGTGTTTCGGAGAGAAATGTGATATGACTATTAGCACCTGGATCTGATTAAAATCAAATAGAAATGTGTTAGGTTTTTGAAAATCCGGGATAAAATAATCGGTTGGAGACTTAAAATCACATTTGTTCTCCAGTTGTGTATGAGCAGGAAGTAGACCGAACAGAGTGCACAGGAAGAATGTATTCTGTAGCACTCAATTTAGATATGTCCATATAAGTAACTGAAAAGGAGGGGCCTCTCAGGGACACAGTCAATGGCTGAAGGGGACAATGGCCTCGCCTCGGGAGAGAAGAGGGTAGAGAACTTTTGTAAGATCTTCCCAGCATGCTTTCAGAACTTAAATAGACCTAAGACTTCTGTGCATCCCCTTTCTTCTGTTTTCGACATCAGAATATTGTATAGATCCCATTTGTTTTCTTCCAATCTGTATTGGTTTAGTATGTGGCAATAACCTTCCCTGTGTTCCTCATTCTCAAGAGGAGCCAAATTGGGGGGTGATGTAGATGACTATAGATCATCTCCTAGAGTGGAATTTACTAGTACTCAACCAGAAATACTTGCTTTTCATTTTATTTGTCAAATATTGTGCCATCTTCCTGAAACCAGAAAAGCAAACACACAGCTATTTCGTCTATGCTGACTGCGATCCTATAGAATAGGACAGAACTGCCTCCTATGAGTTTCTGAGACTGCCACTCTTTACAGGAATATAAAGCCTCATCTTTCTCCCGAGAAGGGGCTAGTAGTTTTGAACTGCTGACCTTATGGTTAACAACCCAAAGCATAACCTTCACATCAAGGGCAAAGTGGGATGGAGACATTTTGATATTCTGGTCAGAAGGAGGATTGTGGTAGTCATCTGGAGAGTTTGCATGTAACCTTTTGAAATTAGATATGGTCATGTGACTAGTTTCATAAATGAAATGTAGGTGGAAATGATACATGCCACTTATGGACAGAAGGCTGAAGAACAAGTTTGCGATTCTGCACATTTTTTTTCTCCTGCAGAGTTGATCATGTCAACTTATAATGAAGTGGATTTTTTGCCATCTGGATTGACTGTGAGAAGATGCCTTCCGGTTTCCAAGTTGACCACAAGGTATGAGCAAGAACTAAAATTTGTCATGCTAAATCAAAGATTTGGGGTTTATTTGTTAGTGTAGCATTACCTGTACATCTTGATTGATTCTTGATTGATTAAAAAGTGAGTTCATGTGTGGCACTAACCTCATCAAAATAATCAAGCCACCTAGGAAGAATAAGAATTAAATGCACTAACAATGAAAACAGGGAATACAAAAGACCTAAAAAATTGCATTTCTTGACACTGTCAGAAACACAGTACAGGTACTAAGAAAATAGGTTGTGATAGTCACACTTTCAGAAGCTAATGACAACAATTCGCCATGTCGTATTTGAAAGGCTATCTTTGCTTTCCATATACATATTTGGTTGTAAAAAAGTTTACAGCCTAAAATGTGAGGCTTACTTTAAAATATCATAATTTTCAGCTATCTTAGGAATAAAAAATGTTACTACTCTGGATATTTCTGTAAGCACTCTATAGAAAAGGAGCTTTAATAACATAAGGTGAACTACTGGCAAAAGAAAGTTTATAATCTAGCTCATGTCTATCGTTATCATCTGATGCTATCTCACTAACTCAGTCAAGAAATCGAACAAGTATGAATGAATGATTTGTACTTGGTAGAACGGTGAGCAGGTAAATAGATAAATACTGTTATGTATGGCTTCATCTTAGAAAATTGATCAATACTCAGATTTGGCACATACTTTATTGCAAAGTTGTCATGGCAGGAGTTCGAAACCATCAGTCACCCCAAGGGAGAAAGATGAGGTTTTCTACTCCTGTAAAGAGTTAGTCTCAGAAACCTGCAGAGACAGTCATGGGAAGGCATGCACTTAGAACCAGAGAATCAGAATGAACAATTACAAGTACTTTGTTGATCTAATGGTTAGAGCCCAAAGTTTAGACTTCAAGATTTTACCTTTAATGAAAGATCTTGTGAGGAAGGCTTAACTATGGCTCGAACTGGTGATGGTCTCTCATAGTTTGTGTGTTTCCTCCAGGGCTAGTGGTTACGAGTTGGCCTACGATCCTTAAGATCAGTAGTTCGAAACCACTAGCAGCTTTCTACTCTCATAAAGAGTTACAGTCTTAGAACCTCATAGTTCTGCTCTAACCTTTAGGGTTTGACAGGAGTTGGTATGGACTCGATGGCAGTGAGAGACATCAGCCAAATAATACATCTTTGCCTCAGAGTTCAAGATTGTTTAGAGATTAGCTAAGGTTTGCTTTCTTTTGTCACGCACAGCACGCTGGGCCAGGAATTTTCTAAGTTCAGACATTTTCTTATTCACTTTCCCATGACTCACACATTGCTAATGATTTATAAAGTTAGAAAGTCTCATAAAGGTAGCCATTTCTCTCTCTAAACACTCAAGAATGTTTATACACATGCATTGTGAAAGCACAACAGCAATGCATACCTTATGGGATTTGAGATCATTATAGAAGCACACAGAACAGATAAATAAACAGGTAGGTACATGGATACATTTCCTAGTAATATCAATTGATAGGACACAGAAGCTGTGACACTCCAGCAATACCAAGTCCACCTAAGGTCAGAGCTTTGCTCCTAAATAACATTCTCCACTAAAATGATGAATAACTTATTGGGGGACTAGAACTGAGAAAGTGCATGAGGTGAGTAGAAAATCCTCTGATGCCAGAAAGAATGATGGGAACATGTTAAAAGGACACAGGCTCTACAGAACAAAAGCCCAAATTATGCAAAAAGACAAGACTTACTGCTCTGACAGAGATCGGTGGACCTCCTTAGACTGTGGTCCTGAGACACCCGTCCGACCTGGTATTGAACTCCCCACCAGGGCTCCAACTTTCAACCCGATATTGAGGTCTGTAGAGTGAATGATAACATCAGGGAGGGACATACTCTTCAGTACAACCCACCGTAGGAGACCAGCAGGACGGCATTTACCCGGAAGCAAAGCTCAGAAGGCAGGAAAGGAAAGGAAAGAACAAGAGACAGAAATGGGAAACCCAGGAAAGAAGTAGGGAGAGTGTTATTACATTGAGGGCATTGAAACCAATCGGAGTCCCACGGATCAAATCTAAAACCGTTTGAGAATCCAAATAAACAATGATAGCAACGCATTTTAACCTATACAGTAAAATAAGGAAATGTGGACTCCATTTTGGAAATCTTGGTAAAGGATATTTGGCTCTAAGCCTGAAGTAATATGCGCACAAAGAGCCAAGTTCATTTTTCTCTCCTGCCCTTATTTCACTTGGTTGCTCTTTCTGAATTGACATTGCTTATCAATCCTGTTCTTGAAACCGCCACACTGTCTCCTTGCGTTATATTTTGAAAGGCGAATAAAGCTTTCAGAGGCTCCCTTTCTACCTGTTGTTGTTAGTTGCCCCCAAGTGGATTCTGCTTCCTGGTGACCCATTTGTGCGGGGTAGAACCTCTCCATAGGGATTTCATCGACAAACACCAAGAAAAGATCATGCGCAACACTTACGCACCCTCACTATGCCATAAAAAAGCTTTACTTACATACAGAAGAGACAAGATCCGCTTCACCTATGACCGTGGTCTCCTACGGCCACCAGTCTCATCTCAGACGCGGCTGGCGCAAGGCTGATGTCCACCACCCCTCTTGCTCTGCTGAGAGAGCTCAGAGGCGATTTGATGCCCGCGAATGAATAAGAGACAGAGAAAGTTACTGTGTGCTCAGAACAGGATGACGTTTTTTTCTGTTAAGGAGGAGGAAAGTGCGAGAGCAAAGGCAACACAATTCCCAGGCTCCTTATCAACATGTTCTGGACTCAAGGCCTTTACTTCGGCAACCTGGAGAGGAGGCATAGAGGCTGACTGTTCCTTCCACAATCAATCCCATGATTTCTTTCGGGCTGCCAGATAAAGAAGTAGAACAACACAAAGTCCTAGTATATTTTGCGCCCATTTTCGACGTGGAGCTGCAGAGTGTGGTTCTGTGCCCAACCCTGATAGATGTTGGGTTGGTGCACGTTTTGAGGCAGCACTGTCCCAGCAGGCTGACTAGGCCTGCGTGGAGGAGAGATCCACCCCACTTGTGGCTTAAACTGAGCCAACTGAACAGGTCAAAGGGCTGCATTTGTCCTATCGTATGTATGCCACTGATGTTTGCAATATATTTCTTGATGTAAAAAAAACAACAACATACTTCTCCCAACATGGCACCTTAAATGAATAGTGCACATTCCAGTATAAGTAAGACAAAAGGCTTCTTTTCTTAGCAGCATAACAAAACAAGGTACCACCATGGTCAGAACAGGTTAATTCAGACTTGGTATAATTAATGTATATTTGTCCACTTGCTCATATTCTGTAAGTTGTGTCAAACTTGGTCTTAGAAATCCCACTCTCTGAGTAGAACCAGCTAGTTTCCAATGCCGTGACCTTCCTGAAGCAGATCACAAGACCTGTTTTCCAAGGTGCCCCCAAACCACACAACTTGTGGCTAGTGGTTCAATGCTTCACCATTGGTGCCATCGACAGACTCCTCCCCTTTCCATCAAAGCAAGACAAAACTGTTTTTGCTGTTCTCATTTGCCAGGTGCATATAACAATTAGTGCCATTTGGTAAGTCCTTTCCCAAATAATAATAGTTATCTTAAAACTATTGCTGTTTTAGAAAGGCACTTGAGTATAAGCTGAGTTTTTCAGCACATTTTTTTTATGCCGTTTTGTGGTAAAATTAGGTGCCTCGGCTGACATTCGGGTTGGCTTATACACGAGTATATACGGTAAACATTTCATTCACATATAAAGATGTTCTGTAGGTGAAACCCAGTATAACAGCTTCTCTAGCTGGTAAATTTTGAAAACCGAGTGTTTTTTGCTGAATACACAAAGAGAAGAATTTACAGTTAAGAGAAACAGCTGATCAAAGTCATCACAGAAAGAAATGCTTGCGAGTCTGACTGCTGCTATGGAAGGGTAGGGAAGATGTGAAATCGTGAAGAACACAGACTGTCACTTATGTTATTCCAGATTGTTTATTCCCTTTGTTAATTATAGTTGAAGCAGAGAAATAGCGAAAACAAATTATTCAACTCTGAAATTGTGGTAGTAAAGCACTTACATAGCATTTAATTTTATAGCCTATGGGGAATTTATGTTAAATATGGAGGGAAAAAAAGAATATAGCAGAGAGTGGAAGTTTTAGTTAAAGTTAGACAATTTGCTTTAAAACAATGCAGCATTAAGAAAACAAAATGATGTTTTATTGTATAAATATTATTTTAGTCACTCTATTTATTATTCCTAGACACTTTGGAAGCCACTCCTAATGTACTGGAGAGAGGTTTACAGATTTCACCATAAATGCACTGATGGAGGGCTGTGGTAGTGGATTGTGAAGAATGGCATCTATGAATTTTAAAGGGCGCATGAGCATGTGCGTGTGCATGCTTGTGCGAGCCCGAGAGCACGCACAAGGACCTACCTGTGAATCTCACGTGGTTTTACAGAGAAGAAAAAAAAATTGTATCTGCATGTTAAAAAGTGCATGGTAGTTTGTGAGACTGAAAAGAAGAGAAAAGGTATTTCAGCTCAGGAAAAGATGCTGAGAGGTGAAAGTGCATGGTCGATGTAGCAATGGGTGAGAAATTTGATATGAACCACGTTGTGTTATTTATTATTCTCCAAAGATTTTCCCTCAATATTATTTCACCCTATGCTCAAATACAAGAGTACTTCAAAACCACCTTTGTAAACAAATTAAGAAGATAATCCCAGAAACAGACGCTTGGCTTTCTTTAAGTCTAGAGAGCTTCTGTGATCTCTAGAGTCTAAGAATCTCCTCGAGATCACTCAGTGCAGTGTGGAATTAAGTGTCTCAGGTCACCTGGCTCAATATTATTTGTACACAATAATCATTTACATATCTTTCAGTTACAAATTCTGAGCTAAGACAAACCCAATTTAATTGTCTGTACATTACAACAGATTTCCCACTGCAGTGGTTTGCAGGTTATTTAGCTGCACGAGTAAGGATGGGCTCAGTTCCGCTGTTTTAACAAGCACATTCTAAATCTTAGTGGCCTAACGCATCAAAATTTTATTTTTCACTCATGCTACATAACATAACATAGCCTTGACAGAGAGAAGTCAGTATAGCCAATTAATTACTGCCTCTTAAACCTGCCAACCAGAAGTGTCATTTTTCATGTCCAATCTCATTTTCTTAACCAAATAAATGTATGTAACTGTGCCATACTTGGGCAGGGCCAGGGAAAGGTAATTTTAACTTGTGCTTAAAAGGCCAAATGATAAATATACTTTGCAAACAGCATGATTGACTTCTGAATTACACCTATCTACTCTTACTGGTGATGTACTTCTTCATCAAATACAAGTATACTTGACTGTATCAAAGTTCGGTTTCAATGAATGTGATGAAGAGGATGCTTGTGGTTCTCTTATGGAAAGAACAATTTGAGGAGGCAAATTGACTACGGATATGACTTAAAAGCAAGATTGCTCAATGAAGATGCCTGAGTTGAAGATGAAGAATCCAGGACATGCAGCGGGATAAACAAAATAAGAGATAAACCGAGAGGAGGAGAAAGTCAATGTAGTAGTGAAGTGTCTTCTCAATGACATATTTTTTAGTCTCTCCATTGTAACCTCAAGATATTGAATGTTATGTTATATATATAGATATGTGTCATAAATATATTCAGTAAAATATACAATTCAATAGAATGTATTTGACTTTATATATATAGTAAAACATGTGGAAGCTGCAACCAGTGTAAAGTGAAAACCTGCCAGAGAGGGGAAATTCAAATACTTTTCACTAATAGGAGCCCTGGCAATGCAACGGATTACATGTTGGGCTGCTAAGCACAAAGTTAACAGTTGGAAAACAACAGCCGCTTCTCGGGAGAAAGAGGAGGCTGTCTCCTCCCGTAAAGCGGGACAGTCTCAGAAACCCACAAGGGTAGTTCTGCTCTATATTATAGCATCACTGTAAGTCACAATCGACTCACGAGTAGTGATTTGGGTTAGGGTCTGGCGACTGCAACCTGTGGACTACTTGCAAGATCTGGGAAAACCAAGCAGGGTCGTGTTCTGGCTCCCACCAGGTTCAAGGTATAGACAGCTCTATACTTGGATCCATCTGTGTTAGCTGTAGCTTCCTAACAACATCCAAAGGATATCTTTCCATATTTCTTTAAAAGTTAACTTATGAAGTGTTTTACTGAGAGAATTCGCATTATTTGTTGGTCTGCATGTATACATGCTCATAAAAGGTAGTCACAATTAAGTGCAGGAAGTATAAAATAGAGTACAAGAAGGAAGATAATGTTTTCAAAATGATGGAGGTAGCGATTATACATCACTGCTTGATATGACTGAACTAATGAATGGCAGGCTGACGGGATTATGTCCTAATAAAATGATGGGGCGCGGGGAGAAGAAGTATAGCATAAATGCATGGAGTTAAGTTTGAACTGGTTTTTTATTTGTTCGTATTTAAAATGGGAACCTACAGCTGTCTTTCCCAGAATGCATTATGGGCTCTTTCCTAGATTGGTGGGTGCCTCAATCTTCAATTGAGGTTTCTGTTTCTCACCTGTTGTAGTTTTTAGGTTTTACACTTTATCATGCTTTGTTAGGTGCTAGGTGTTTCAGAAATATTCATTGTGGTAATTCATCAGTGCCCCTCGTCCTGCCCTTGCTTTACACCTCAGTCCTCAAGCAGAGACTCACGACATGCAGAGGAATCAACAAAATAAGGGATAAAACCGAGAGGAGGAGAAAGTGCTGGATGAAAAGTTAATCAACTGTACTACTTAGTCACTCCGTGA